CGCGTCAAAGGCCTGAACGCGGTTCGTCGTCAAGAAGAGCACGCCGCGGTAGTACTCGAGCGCGCGCAGGAAGACGGAGACGAGGCCGTTGCGGGCAATGTCCTTGGCGCGGCGGCGCTCGAGATAGACGTCGGCCTCGTCGAGCAGCACGAGCGCGCCGAAGCGCTGGCCGAGCTCGAGGAAGTAGGAGAGGTTGTTCTCCACGGCGTGCGAGTTCACGCTCAGGTCGCCCGATGTCAGCGAGATGAGGGGCCGGTTGGTGAGCTCCGCGACGCACTCAGCGGTGCAGGTCTTGCCGACGCCGGGGGCACCGTGGAGGAGGAAGATGCGGCCCTCGCCCTTGTTCTTGACGAAGTCGTTTCCCCAGGGGGAGACTCTGCCCGAGTCGGTGGTGGCGAACTTGCCGATGAGAGCCTTGACCGTCAGCTTGATCTCATCGTCGAGGACGAGATACTTGAAGGCCTCGCGGTCGGTGACGACGGGCTTGAGGTGCTCGAGGTTCAAGTGGCCCCAGTGGCGCTCGCCGAGGAGGAAGGCAGGGATGACCTTGATGCAAGCAATGTAGAAGAGGTCGCTGGTTGGAGCGGCGGACTTGGTGGGGTAGACGTTGTCGAAGACTGAGTAGGTTCCTGGCTCCTCTTCATCTTTGGAGTCTGCACACGCCTTGCAGCCACATCGTGGGAGGAAGTGAGGGAGATGGTCTTGCTCTGGTGGAGGGCCCTGACCAGCAGGGAGGCCGGCAGGTCTCCGCGAGCGGTGGTTGCGGTTCTCTGGAGAGTGCATGGCGAACCTGTTGAAGCCCTCAGCATCGCAAATAACTCGTCCAGTCATCTGAGTAGATATTAGTCACATTTTCCACTGATCGAGGGGAGTGAGAAGCGACTTACGTAGCCTGATGGCTCGCGGAAGGCAGGCCCAGCACGCGAGCTCGCGGACTGCACTAACAAGCCGTCATATTCCATGTAAGTCGGTCGCTGAAGGAGTTCCCAGTATAGCTTGCCCAACTTGATCTGCTTCTCGAGCATCTTCTCGGGCGCGTCGGGGTAGAAGCGAGCCGGCATTACATCCAGAGAGTGGATGACCTGCTCGCCGGGCCACGAGGGCAGCTTGTACTGCACCATTTTGCGGACCATCTTGCTGTTGCCCATCTCGAGCAGCCAGCAGGCCACCATCCACTGGCGTCTATGTCCAGACGAGGTCGTCTCCTGGCTCAGACTGCTGACGATAAGGGGCTGCCAGACGTCCTCGTTGTTCACGTAGACGATCTCGCCCGGCTTGAGCGCCATCCAGTAGTTCTCAAACGTCGCAACGGGGGTGCCGCGAGCGTACCGTTCTTCCTCTTTGCGGATGGATTCACCGACGGTCTGTTCGATGAAGTTGAGGAGAACGTCAATGTGCTCAGCCGTGGTGCGGGCGTACTCGGAAGAGTGGTGGGAAGGCTGGTGGAACTTGTATTTTGTTAGAGCATCACGATGATGGACGACGGCGCGATACGGCGCGTCTATCTTGACAGTGTCCCCGAGGAGGTTGATGTTGGGGTAGTAGGCCACGGTCGCCCTTAGAGCATTGATGAGGTGCGGAGAGTGAATGATCATGCGGGTGCGCTCTACCGTCAACTTTCCCGGGACATCATCATCACTACCGTCGGAGTCATACGACACATAGTCATCATCGTCGTCGAAAACGGGAGGCGGGCGCGGAGGGGGCATGCGGCGATAATGAACAGTCCTGCTCCCGCCGGTATAGGCCGAGATCTTGGTCACGATCTCGAGGATTGGTTCAACGTCTCGCTTGGCCGTGCTCTCGCCGTCTCTCGCCCCATAGTCTGGGATCTCCTTGAATGGGACGTCGCTCTCTCGGCCTTGACAGTTGTGTCAGCCAGATTCGCGGAACAACATCAGAGTGTTACATACTTTCTATGACCTTGCCGCCAAGACTGACATGTTGCAGCACGTACAAGACGTCAGGGGTCGGCTTGGGTGCTGGCTTCTGCTGGGTGACTAGAGCCTTTTCGTCGCCAGGAGGCGAGACGCGTCGGAAAGCGACCTCCTCGTAGCTAACCGTGGAGCCGGTCTCGTCGTCGATGGTCTTTCTCATGTTAGCGACAGATATTGCGCGCGGTTGAGTAGAACCTTACCCTATCGCCTCGGCCGATCATGTTGGGCAATACGTTTTGAAGCAGGAATTGAACAAGCCTGGAAGGAAAAGAACAATGGGAGAACGAAGGGGAGCCTAGATAAGGAAGAAGATTCGGAGGCCACTGATGACCTACAATGCCTTGCGGCCTAATGCGGCTCAAGTAACATCGGTACAGCAGCAAGCTGATCGTCGATTACTCCGAAGTACCACGCTTCTCAACCGCCGTGTCATTGGTGCTGAAGTAGGGCGAGCATACCCCGCCTCGAATCGATGACTCTGGCCTCATGTTAACTGATTGGCAGATGCATGTGCAGTTGTTATAGACTCGCATAAAGAGCGATTCGGCGTGTGAGACGGCAAGGCAGCCAGGCATGTAGTGGTTCGCGAGGCGCTCTGCTGCCTGGATAGGCCGCAGTCTCCAATCGGGACGTCAGGTTGAACGCTGGGCTGACAGAAGTGTAGAAGCAGTGAGACTGCAACGTCGAGACTAGCGACGAATCACGTGTGTTTTCGTGGTGAGAGAGATGCTCTTCGAGATACCTTAGTTCATTGCCTTGGATAACTGCAGATTTGCGAGGTGCAGAGTGTGTCATCGACGCCGCAGGTCGCAGATGCAGACGACTGTGAGAAAAGACTCAATATTCGCCTACCTAAGAGGAATGGTAGGAGCCTGCTTCCTTGGTTACACGGTATGCACTACTTCCCAAGATATACCTCCCATCGAAAATGTATCCTGGAACGCCTCAGACCCCCCACGCTATTCTATACCCGCCATGGGCCAAACGCCGAGATATTGTATCCTTGGAAGAAAATGCAGAAGGCAGTGAGCGTCACACTTAGTTGTTGGCATTTCTTGCTGTTGTGTTCACGTTACTAGCGTGCGCCAGCAGAAACTTGCAGCATGTCAGTGTCAGCTTGCAGGCCTTGGTCCAGCCGTCGTCTTGGGTCATTCCCAGCTTGATGCTGACGTCCATGATCTTGTCACTCTCAATCTTGTAAGGTAAACTAAGCGGATGGCCGTCTGCTGCGGTCTGCCTATGGACAAAAGCACCGAGCTGTCTCACGAGTTCGAGAAAGGCGACCATGGCGTTATCGAACTTGCGGTGCATAAACGTCAAACCGAGAGGCAGGTCTCCGGCGGAGAAGAGCTCCAGAACATGCTTCTTCGGTGCTGGAGGTGGGGCGTTGCGATGAGAACCTAGACGGCTGGCAGCGGGGGAGGGCAGCTCATATCGAACAATCTTGGAGGTGCTTCCCATGGGTTGCGGTTCAAACCCGTCGAATTTGTAGCCAAGCTTGTCCGCCACGGTGACGAGCAACAACAAAGCGTGCCCCCATGCGGCATTGATCTCGGGCCAATCCACAGGCTTGCTAGAGGTCCTACCCAGTCTCAAGCCGTTGATGGTAGCAAAAGTGCCGTCGTGACTGATGCAGAAAGTGTCATTGTATACGTTGGATCGCTGCAACTTCTCCAGCAGTTGGGCGTCGTTGTCGAATTTGGAGTTGATGCTGTCGCGCTCGTTCTGAAAGTCGGCCAGCTTCATCGCAAAGGTGTTGCGCTCGCGCCAGAACTGTTCCTCCTCCCGATCGAGTTGCTGCGCTTCCTCCTCCAGAGCAACAATTTCGGCGTCCACTGCTGCCTTCTCCTTTTCTAAGCGCAGGAGTTCCGCCATCGCTTCGGACTCGACCTGCTTTGCCTGCTTAAGTGCCTCCTCTTGCGCCTTTACCTCCTCCTCGCTGGGTTGATCGCTCTGGACTTGCTTCAGAAACCCAACATAGGCGTCGCGCTCTCTCGCCGCACCCTCGAGCTTTTTCTGCAGACCCTCCACCAGCATGTCCGTACATTCCACGCAGACAGGGTGGTCGATATCGGATCTCGCGGATAGAATCTCGAATAGCTTGTTGATGCGTTCCACTTCGTGTGCTTTACTGGACGGTTCCTCCTGGCCTTTTGAACCAGCCTTGCCTCCTTTATTTGACTTCGGGTTCGCTGGTTGGGGTTCTGGTCTCGAAAGCACGGGCTGCGCGACTTGGGACTCGGTCAGGTAGATGAATGACATCGTCGAGTCTTTTTGCGCCGAGCCCGACGGGCCACTGCCGTGGCGCTTGAATGTTGCTGAAGCAGCATTTTGGGACACCTTATCGTAAAGTGCCTTTCTCTGGCTGTCTTGGGAGTGTGGGATTCGTGAGGAGTGCGACTTTTTGGGGGACGTTTGCGAAGAGGAAGCTGTAACCGTTAGCTAGGCACCGCGACACAAGGAATCTGAAGCTTGCACAGACCGACCAGGAGATCGTATGCGGCGGGATTCAGAGCCTCGAGGGAGCTGTCGAGCTTGAGGGGTGTGCGACACTTTTGGCAGTACATTGTATCGTTGCGCGCATGCTTGCGCGACTCGCGGTGTAGTCGGTAGGTGTTCGGCGGCGGGAGGTAGTTGGTAGGTTGAGGATGTTCAAGGTCTGGTGATGTAATCGGGCGTCGGTAGGCACGCAGTCGGTCTGGTGAGCTTTAGAGAGGCTCAGTGGAGGGGCGCAGCTGACTCCAGCGGTGTCCTGGTCCGTTCTAGGGGGCTCTGTCTTAATGTCACGCTAATTTCTTTTAGAGTCGCTGCAAGTCAGGGACAGTCACAGCGGTCCTCCCTGGCAACCGCACCACCCCACGTGGTCCGTGCCCTTCCACTTTACGCGAGAGCTTGAAGAGTCCGTGCGTCGCATGCGACCGCGTCTTTCAATCTCAGGGTCAACAAGTTGATGTTGGCCGACCTCATCACCGCCATTGGATGCCAATCGTCGGCGTCGTCGCCGTCATCCGATCCTTCATAAAACTATGAGAGGATCGGCCTCATTGGCGCCTGCGAGTCACCATGGAGCCTCCAGCCAAGCGACCGAGGACCGGCCCATCACCCCTGGGTCAACAACAAAATGACGAGGACGATGAGCTCAACTACGAGCCGGAAGAGGTGTCTCAGATGCGGGATCCCGGCTACCAGCTTGAAAAGTCTCGGAATTTCGCAGCCTTCAAACTGAAGTCAACATTTGAGCACATATTCGCAAAATACGAAAAGGACTTCACGGGCATTGGTGACGAGATTGACCTGAAAACTGGCAAGGTTGTCATCAATAATGGTCACTTGGAGAACATGCGACATGAGAGGGATATGGGCGTTCCGGATGAGGAAGAGGAGGAAGACGAGGGAATGCTTCTGGAAGAGGCTTTTGGCTCTGATGACGAAGAGGAAGATGATGAGGAGCATGGAACCGAAACTGTAGGTCAGCCCGACGAAGAGGAGGAAGAGAGAATTCTGCACGGGAAGAAGGGCGGAAGTACTTCTACAGCTCTTGTTCGCAGACCAAGTACCGAAATTCAGCGATGCCCGAGTCTATCAAGTATTGGAGGGTTAGGGTCAGAGCAGCGACTGTCAAGTCTCGTGGCGCCGCGCAGGCCGGGGTCGAGCAGCTCGGTTCTCCCCGGGAGTGTCTGGGGCGCAGATCCAGAGCCCGCCGACCCGACATGGAAGGTTCCCGAGATTCGCAAACCAAAAGTTGGCGATAGTCTGATGGCGAACATGCACGGCTCGAGATATCGCTTCCCTATCAGTTACCAGTCTATCTGGTCCTCAAGGCCAGACACGGAGGAGGAGAAGATGACCGCTGATCCCGCCCGAATCGACATGAAGATGCTGTCACGCGCGCGGCAAGAGTCCATGAGAGTGGGAAGGCCTACGTCGATGAAACTTTTACAAGCGTTCACTGCCCAGGATGACGACAACGACGACGACATTCTCGGTGTTTCAATTGCGGAGCGGGCACCAAGGGCCGAGAAGAAGAAAGAACCAACATCGACTGGAGATCGGGAACCAAGTGTTGAAACATCAGACAAAAACGCTGAGGAAGACCAGCCTGTGGTATTTGTTGAAGATTCAGCAACCCAGGAAGCACCGACAAAGCCGTTCCCCTCTCAAAAAGAAGCTACAAGCAAATTGAAGCAACAAAAACCATCGAAGGGACAGCAAGGAAAGGAGAAACTGCAAGCCATTCAGGCCAAAGTACAGCCAGCAGAAAACCACGTCGAACCAGGCAAAGTACAGTCTGCAGAGCTGGCTGATGCAGCTGAGATCTCGTCAGAGACACCTAACTTCGTTACGAGCGACGAGGGTCAGAGATTACCAAAGCAGAAGCTTGTCATCGAATTGCTATCAAAGACCCCTCCGCCGGGAGAAGTTACAGAGGTGCTAGAGCCTGAGGATGCCGATACCTACGGGTTGAATGAAGCCTTCGAGCTTCCGACACAATCGGATACAGCAGGCCCTGGAGAAATCCCCGGAGCTTCTGAGCTGCAGATTGATCCGGACACAATTATGCCTGAGACAGACAGCAGTTCCGCAGCGAAGCCCTCCGAAACCACCGAGAACCAACCCAGCAAAGCCCCTGAACCACCAAAAGAGAAATTCGTCAGACACCAAATCGACCCCTCCTACGACTTCTCGGACGACGAGGAGGGCATTCCTACTACGCGAGTCGCAGCGAGGACCCAGAAACCTGCTCCAGCCTCCCCTATCGGAAATACGAATGCCCCAGTCCCAAATGATATCGAATATGTGGCTTCTACGTCTAAGGTGCCATTAAATGATGCAGAGACAACGACAGCCAATGAGGAGGAGGAGGAAGATGGTGAAGACCAGATCCAGAGTTCACCGGCGACTCCCCTTGCAGACAAGCTGGACGGGATGAATCTTGACGCTCCGCAGCCGGAAACGCCGAAAGAGCCAGCCGAGACCCCGGAAGAGCTCCTTAACGCGGGAGGGCACAGTTCTCCGAGAGAAAGCACCGAAGATCCGACCACAATGGAGCAGCGGCCCGTCGCAGAACTCGATGAGGAAGATACAGTCCTACCAGACGTTGAGACAGAGGAACCAGAGGTGGCAGACAGGGCCGAAGCATCGTCCAGCACTGTCAACGCACCCATCGCCATCCCCGAAGACGCACATCTCCCAGACAGTCAAGACAACCAAGAAGAAGGCTTCTCCGTCCCTCTCTTGGACGACATCGGCGCAGAAAGCGCAACGGAGCCCGAGGCTGAACCTGAGCCAGAGTCAGTGGATATCGAACTGCCAGCTCTCCCCTTCCCAACCCATAACCCAGCATCAAACCCGCCCCGTTCAAAACCTGGCCGTCCCAGAAAGTCCAACGCAGTCCCAGAAAACGGCGCGACGTCCCCGATGCGAACCCTCAACCTCAACTCAAGCAGCCCCCTCAAACGCCGCGCCTCAAACGCCCTCAAACCACGCAAATCAGTCAAATTCAACAAGAAGCCATCCTCCCCTGCGGCCTCCACCACTCACCACCACGAACAGCCCTCCCTTCCCGCCGCCCCTTCTTCCTCCACCATCAAAGCCTCCCCGCGCACGCCTTCCGCCCGCCGCTCCTTCATCTCCCTCCTCTCAGACGACGAAGACGAACTCACTCTCGACCTCTTCAAGTCCTGGACAAACACCAGTGGCGGCTCCGCCCCGGGCTCCAGTGGCCGCAAAAAGACGTCCTACGCGCCCGTGCTACTCGCCGGCCCGCAGACCAAGATCACGACGCCCATGAAGCAGCGCAGCCACAACGTCGGAAGTGGCGGGGGGACGGACAGGGGCAAGAAGCGCAAGGCGGCGTGGGCCTTTGCTGTGACGCCGACAAAGGTGCAATTCGGCAGTCCATCCGGCTCGCTTGTCAAGACGCCCGGTGGACATATGAGGCGGTGCGGAGAGGATGGATTCAAATGCGATAGAGATTTTTGCTTTACGTGTCTGTAGATGACGAGGTGAAGGGCGCTTTAGCATGGAGTTTTGGTATCCGTTGCAGCGGCATTGCGGATCAAATGTGCATGGGGGATCTGGAAGCAAAAGATACGCTTCCTCATTAGTCGCTACATCAAGACGAATACCAGTAGAGAAGAAAAGAAAACCATGATGAAACCACTTATGCAAAGCTTTCCGCACAGATTCATGGACAGAAAGGAACCGTTGAGGGGGGCATTTCGAACGAAACAGGGAGCCATCAACCTCGTGAAACGCCTTTCCCCTCCATGTGGTGAAGATACCTCGCCGGTCCTTAGGGCATCTCAGATTCTCCGTCCCCTGTCCCTTACTTTCCTCCGCCGCTGTGCGAATCCCTTCAATCCTCCCGCCTGCATTGAGGTTTACGCCTTTGTTTCTCTGTATACCACCATCTGTGTCATCGCCCAAAAAATAGATTGATACCGGTCTTGAGAGTCATTCCGTTTCGTGAGGGGAAGTAGGTAGGTTTGTGTTTCATGCTTTGTCCAAAGATAAGGTTAAAGTCGTATTGAGAGGATACGGGTTGAGCCTAGTTGACAGGGCGGGCTGCCAGTGGGAGGGAGTCCTCGCTGATCCGCTAACGGGTGCCGGCTCATAGCAGAACCGAAGCGGGTGTGGTCGAGGGCATCACGAGAGTCGTGGGTCAATTCTCAGTCTGGGCAGAACAATGGTCTAGGTTCAGTTGCTAGAAACGCCGGAGGCGCTCTGCTGGGCCAAGTTCTGCTTGAAAACCTCGGGGTCTCTAACCGGGTTGAAGTACGGGTGCGCCTGGGCTTCCTTTGCCGTCAAACGTTCCTATGGACATGTTAGCTTGTGCTGGCCGTGTGACGGTCGCGAAACATACCTGGTGGTCGTATCTCAAAAGCTTGTCCAAGAAGTCGATTGCTTCGTTAGAGACAAATCGCTGGTTCTCGGCGGTAACGAATGAGTGCCACGGCTTCTTCTGGAATCTACCCAGAATGTCGTCGTATTGCGCGTCAAGCTCGATCTCGTACTTGTCAAGGTAATCAAAGAGATCATCCGTGCCAAGCACCTTGGCGATCTTGACAAGCTGATCCGAATTGCTGTTACCGTGGAAGAATGGCTCCTTGCGGAAGATCATGGACGCAAACATAGCACCCAGACTCCACATGTCAAGACTGTAGTCGTACTCTTGGAAGTCGACCAACAGCTCAGGGCCCTTGAAGTATCGAGAGGCAACGCGAACGTTGTATTCTGTCCCTTGATGATAGAACTCGGCCAGACCCCAATCGATGAGCCGCAACTGCATCACGGTTAGTCTGTATCCCCAGCCTCAGCTTTCTGCGCAGAATCCACGTGCCTTCCTATTCTCGTGATCGATCATAACGTTGTGAGGCTTGACGTCGCGGTGCATGATGCCCTTGCTGTGGCAGAAGTCCAAAGCCTTCAGAAGCTCGTTGATGTAGTACCGAACGTCAAGGTCGTTAAACTTGGGGTACAGGCTTCGGAAATCGGTGTTGTTGACGTGCTCGAATATCAGAGAGGGCGTCTTGCTCTGCAAGGAGAAAAAGGTCAGCCATTGCTTCCCGAGCACCCGTCGTCCGAATAGCATCAACAAAAGTCCCAGCTTACCTGCGAATCTCTGACCACGTCTAACAGCGCGACAACATTGGGGCCTCCAGCCAAGTTTTGCAGAATCTTGATCTCACGCTTGATCTTCTTCTTCTTAACGGGCTTGAGGACCTTGATGACGCATTTCTGGTAGTTGACGACGTTGATGCCCTCAAAGACCTCCGAGTATTTTCCACGACCTGTATTGTTGCAACCGTTCGTCAGCCTCGCACGATATTGCCTCGAACTCGACTCGCGCGAAAAAAGTATGCGGGATTGCGCATGCGCGCAGGCGCGCGGGGACCACCACCCCCAACAGAGTGCAAAAAACGTACCAATTTTCCTAACAACCTCGTAGTTCTCGAGCACGCCCCAGCCTGTAGGTCGACGTTGTCAGCGATCGCGACCCGGATGGGAGGGAAACGGGGCGGCTGTAAGCTCTGGCGAGAGCTGCAAGGGACTCGGCCGAGGCGCAGTGCTACCCGGCGGAGGGAAAACCTACTGATGTTCACACTGTCGTAGTCCCAGTAACTGCGGGGCATGTTCTGGTTCACGTCTGCGTACACCCGCGCCATGTTGGGCTACCGTTGCGGCGTTCGCGCGCGGGACTGGTAGAAGATGGTGATGATGTTGTCGTAAGGTAGGTAGGTTGGATTTTGCGGCGGAGGCGGGCAGACAAGGAGGGGTCTGGGTCGTGGCTGAGGTTGGTCGGTCGCCAGACACAAGCGTGGTGGACGTGGACCTGGGACTCTGGGAGTGAGTGGTGCAGTGTGAGAGGGAATGGGGCAGGGAGTAAATCAAGGTGGGATGTCTAAAATCAGGCTTAGCGGTCCATCCTCAGAGCACTGCCTGATTGGCCACCGACCGAGCCGGGCCCCTAACGCGCCTGACAGTCCACTGCAGGCTTATCGTCCAGACCGCCCGATAAGCTCGCCTGATCCGTGCACACCCCACCGTCCAATCTCGATGCAGCGAGCTGCCGCTGTTCCAGCTTTGCTGCTGCTGCTGCTTCTAGTAGAATGCCATCCCGAGGCTGCATCGAATTCCAGACGCAGTTGTCTGGGTGAGACTGTGTCAGGCACATCTTCGAGAACAAAGGACTTTGTTGCCACGGGAGCTCCATACCATATGTCCTTGGCCGCTGCAGAAGATGAGCATCACAAAAGAACAGGCAAACGCGTCACATTGCATGCATTCGAGAAACATATGTCAAATCCTTTGGTCAGATCCATTCGTTTTGGGGCAGGTAGGCAGCCCTCTTGCCCGGCTCCTAATATTCTATGTGGATGCATCTCGCATCTCGCGTCATGTGTACTTGCCCACTGTTCAACCCCTGATACAATCCATTTCACAAAGTCTTCCCTGTATCCTCTGTACAATGATGCATTAGTCCTCACGTCAATAACGACCATGTCCTGGCAATTTTGCCTCGCAATCTGTCCCAGGCAGTCAGCATCTGATATCAAGAGACCATGGACAAGATTCCGGAAAACTTCAAGGCATGCTCAGAGAGAAGATTATTGCTCGACATGTCCTAGCTCTCGAAGGCTCAGGCTGTCAACTAAAGTCAACTGCCGTCGTCTACCCGGAGCTTGGGTTCCGACTAAGGATGACGATACCAGGTTTTCATCATTGCATGCGTGATCAAACGTGAAGAAAGTGCAGCGACATACCTCTTTTGCATCTGCTCCAGATGTAGAACGATTGGACTCACGTCGTGTTCATGAGTTTCTTGCATGTAATCAAGCCCGTGATTGATGGTTTCAGCTGCTCTGAACGTCGGGTTTCGAGTCGAACTTGCAATGCTGCAGGCGTGCCCGGAATGAATATCGGCGTGCATCAGAGGTCCATGAGCGTGTGTGCGGCCCATGTTTCTTCCCAGCAGCAGCCAGATCCTTAGTGCTATTTGGAATTATTTTGCGATGTTGCCGAGCTGGTCTCAGTCGTAGTCAAGAGAGTCGAGACCGGCTTCGACAACGTCCCAAGTTCTTTTTCGTAGGTCGAGCTTGGGTTCGTGGTTCTTGTTCTTGCCTGCTTTTCGCTTCTTCTTGTTCTTTGGTTTGGGTGGTTGAGGTGTCGCGGCTTCCTTGGCGCTGTCATTGTCGCCGACCTCGCCAGCTTCAAGATCTGCTTGCGAGGCTGCAGAACGACGCTCTTCGGCCTTTTCCTTCTCTTTTCTTAGAGCTTCAATTTCAGAGTGGCGGAACATGGCAATTTGCTCATCGGTGAGCGTGCGCTTGACGCCATCCGGGTAGTACCCAAGTCCGTCACCTTCTTCTTCGTAGTACTCTTCGTCGTCGTAGGCAGCGTTTTCATCGCCTGCATGCTTCTCTGGGCTGAAAAAGTCGCTTTTGAACCCTTGCAAAGCTGCGTCAGAGAAGTGCGACTCAAAGAACGACGTCAGCTCGTCCTGGCAAATGTCAGTATGAAGAACGGGGCAGGTTGGCGCGTTTGAACTCACGTTGCTGATATTTGGAACGGCGAAATGGGCACGGCCTTGACCCGATCCGACCGCGGCCATGACGAGCGACTAGAATGATGCGGCGGTGAGACTTCTGGTCGTTTGTGGTTTTGTTGAAAGTAAGAAAAGAAAAGAAATTGAAAGGTGACGGAATGAGGCCAAAGACATGTAGTGGGCCAGGCGCGTCCGCGAGCTTGGATCACGTGTGGAGACCTTACCTCGTCACGCTGGAAGCAACGAGTGGACGCGACCAAGTGCATCTGCTGCCAAAAACCATGCATTTTTCTGCATAAGTGTAGGACCTCTTGGAAGTCTCGATCCGTCACCTACGACCCCATCTCCCCGGCCAAATCTTAGTTCCGGCTCAGCAGGGCAAGTGCACTCTGAAATGCCCGCAGAACCTCCCTCACTGACACGGTGTGAGTCGGACGCGTTGAGTGGGAAGATGCAAGGATGGGGACTCACTGTGCTCCTGCTTTTGAGCCATATTCTGCTCTTGCATGTTGACGTATCTCTGTCTTGTGTGTAGGCGCTTGACTGCACGCTCATTGTCATGGGCGCTGGAAGTTGAAGCCCAGATATTGAAGTACTAGATGCATGGTCAGTTGGGCTCTGCAATGGTTTGTGCGGGCAGTCGCACCTTGACAAGGCCCTCAAACTGCTCCAACAGCTCTCGCTCTTTCTCATCAGCGTCAGCGAGCGCCTTCTCGTAGCGGGCCTCAAAGTCTTCCCAGTCGAAATCAGGAAAAGGACCGGGCGTGCCTGGCGAGATGTTGTCGTGGCCGTTGGTTGCCGGTTGGTCGACCCGCGGCTCAGGCGTCTTGGTGCTCTGAAGAGACTTGGGTCTCTGTGATCCGTTCGCGTCCTCGGCCATCTTCTTTGATGTTTCGTGTTAAACGATAGTACTGTGAGGCCGAGCCCGAATAAAGTTTTCTGTTTTTTCTCCTTTCAAAACGTCGTTCTTGGTCACCACAAAGGGAGTGTTGGTGGTGTAGTAGTAGTGTTCGCTGTTGGGCTCAGTGGAGAAAGTCTGAAGTTCAGAACTGACAGCGACACTGGACCGACCGCTTCACTGGACTGGACCTTGCTCAACCCTGGAAGGCGGTCGAGAGTGGTGCTTGCCTCACTCCATTGCTGCGCTGCGACCGCCAAGGCCTGTTCAGGCAAGTGTGGCGTTGATTGGCCACAGCACCTCTGTGGCGCGCCGCAGGGATTCAAATGGGTTGGGGGACCCCCTGCTGCCTGCCCGGAGTGCCGCCGCGACCACGGCCCTCGATTGTTTCCTTTCTTGGCTGGCTTCCTTTCAGCGCCGCCTCTCACCCGACCTCGCCCTCGTGACTCGATATCTTCGAACAGGAACTGCCCAGTCAGATCGCCTGAACACTGCCGCCGACTCACTGCGACTTCGATCTGGGAACTGCGTATTTCACATCGCAGTCTCCCTCCGAACGTCCTGGACTCAACTCAACCTCATCCGCCAGAAAGTCAAATTCCCCACGTCATTGCCGTTGCGACTTTCTGCCCATGCCGCTCCCTGATCGTTTTGAAACTCGCCGTCTCCTCGCGTCACTTCGAACTTTGACTCGCCGCATGCCGCCAAGATGAACTGCGACATTTGCCAAAGACCGCATCATCCCCAGCAGCGGCCCTTTCTCTGCGCTGTCGATGCGCGCAACCGCTGCTATGAAGGCCGTATGAGGAATCTCCAGGCGTTGATGGAGAACGAGTCTCTCCAGCAGCAGATCAACGACTTGCTGGCCCAGAGTGGCCCGGCTAACTCTTCAACCTCCGCCGTCGCTATTGAAGCCTCAGTCTCCGACCAGAAGAAAGCCGAGGACAGGACCGCTCAGATCATCGCGCAAGCCGACAAGCTGAAGCGGGAAATCGCTGCTGCCAAGAAAGAAATCGCTGACCGGAAAGCTGCTTTGTCGCGCCGCAAGTCAGATCTGACATCTGCCTCTGATGGTACTGAGGCCCGGAGATCCAGACAGTTGGATGAGACTGAGCGCTCGATCTCGGTAACCAAGTACAAATGGAACCGCAGCGCCGATAACATGGCGACTACTCGAGCCTTTCTGTGCATGGAGGCTGCCAAGTTGTATGGACTTCGCCGAATCAAGAAAGGGTCCTCAGCTCGATATGAGTATAAGATTGGTGGGGTTGATGTCATAGATCTTTCATCTATGAATGGTAAGTTGCTTCAACTGGATACATGCTGTGAGTTTCTCACTGACCCTGCCAGCCGTGTCTCCCGAGACATTGTCCACATCACTTGCCAACCTGGCCCATATCGTCGTACTGACGTCGCATTATCTCTCGATCCGCCTGCCCGCAGAGATCACTCTTCCGCATCGGGACTATCCTTGTCCCACGATCTTCAACCTCGCTTCCTCCTATCAGCACGGCGATGTCCCATTTCCTGGTTCTTCTGTCATCCACAACCTAACCTCAGATGATCGAGACAGCCAGCCTCATTATGTCCCGCGACCTCGGCCACTTTATGTCGATAAGGCCCTTCCCACTCTCGCAAAAGAAGACTCCGTCACGCATTCGCTCTTCCTCGAGGGCGTCACCCTGCTTGCATACGACATCGCCTGGGCCTGCTCCACACAGGGTGTCTCTGTCGGTGATCGCAACTCGTTCGACGACGTCTGCCACATGGGTCGCAACTTGTACAATCTGCTCATCGGCCAACAGCTGCATAGTACTCAGACAGGTCGCATCTATCCCCCGGTTTCTTCGTCGCCCGCAACGAAGCACGACAATCCAGAGCAAGAAGAAATCGGAAAGGCGTCGTCTTGGATGGGACGCTATTCCCATGGCACAACTCACACGTTCCTCGGAGGCGCGGAGGGTTCCGATTTCGTCCGCAGCTTCAAGCTCCCCAGCCCCTTGAAGCTTGCCGATAAGCTGAAGAAGAAGCTTCTGAGCGAGGTGGCCGTGCCGGAATGGGAGGTTTTGGAGGACGATGCCTGGGCCCTGGACGATGCCGAAAGTGCGCAGAATCGGACAGGTGGTGGAACAAATGGATGGACGAAGCTGAAGAACAGGTAATCTAACAAAGAAATGAAACATCCATACTCAAACAACAAGCTTTGCCGGTGGCCAGATTCTCCTTTCAATGACTCTCCCCACTCTCCGTAGGCTTGTTTTTTTTGTTTCTCGTTTTGTTTGATTTTCGTGTGTTTTCGTGTGTTTTCGCGGTTTTTTTTCTTCTTTCATCTCTTTTCTTCGTGTTCCCATCGTCTCTCCCTATCCTCTTCATCTTGAGTAGAGCGTATTGACTCATTGCCGTTGAGACCGCCTTTCTTCCTCCACCATCCTCATCCATTCCCTCAAAATCCCCTCCATCTCATCTGCGTACACGATACCCTGTTGGACAAGTCCTTCAAGGAGGTACCTCATCCAACGCCCCAGAAGATCGTTCACCTGTTGTCTGGTGAGGAAAGTCTTCTGATCTTCCGGGGCGCCGGGCAGGTCCTGCCACCTCTCCTTAGACAAGAGCTTGAGGCGCCTCTCTCCCCCCCAACTCCTGAACTTTTTAGCGGCCCCAGCATCCTGATTCCGACGCCCAAGAATGTCGGTCAGTAGGCGGAGGACAGCCAGGCGCTCTTCTCTGGTTGCGTGCCCTCCGTACGTGAAGACGCTCTCGGACTGGTTCTGTTCGGCCCTCTCCACAACCCGAACAATTCGGTCCCGGTGGCCGTCTTCGCCACCAGCCGCTTCTTCCCTTTCAGACGCCTCAACCTCCTGCTCCAACTCGCGTCTGGCTGTGTACACACTCCGTTGATGGTTTGCGATGTCCTCTTCGGACCTGTTTGCTCTGTTGCTCCTGGGAAGGGGCAGAATCTGCCGGTGCTGCGAGAACCAGCTCGACACGGGGGTATCACCAGTCTGTACGGCATCCTCTTGGGTCCTCTTCTCCTTTGCCTAGGCTCTGTTGCTTGAGCAGCTACTTGCCTGTGACGGCTGCCGGGGGGTCGAGGCCGGTGCGGGCATTGGGTCAGAGATCGAGAAGATCGAGATGCGCGATGCGTCCCGGGAAGCCTCTTTTGGGTCTGCCGCCGAGCCGTTACGTTTGGGTGCGAGAACCTTGACTGACGTTGGGGTCTTGGGGTCTTCAGGGGGTCTCGCGGCAGGGGAGCGGATTACCCGTCCGTCTGGTCCCAATCTGGCGCAGCCCGTATCCTTGGACTTCTGAGTCTGAGACGACGGCTTTGTTGTTCGCAAGGGGCGGAGGGGGTCTGGGCGTGGGCCTTTGCGAATAATTTTTCGAGGCGAGACCGATGATGGACCGCCAACCGCTGATTGTGGATTGGGGGTCGGGGTCACGGGCGTAGCTGGTGAATGTTGTGATGCAGAAGGTTGAAGCGGCAATGTCAGCGTGTACGAATGCTGCTGAGTTGCCCGTGGTCTTGTTGAGGCTTCCGTTGTCGTTCCCGTACGTATTTGCTCATGTTGCTCGGTAGTCTCCTCGCTAACGCGGTCAGCGGGCTCTGCCACTGACTCTGTTCCCGTCGGAATTTGCGTCTGGTTGTTCTGCTCGTGGACAGGAGCGACGGGGGGCGAGGGAAGAGCAGACCTGCGAGGAGATGGCGGAGGGGGGGAGTAAATGTCGTCCAACAGGTCCGGGGATGGCGACCTGGGAGGGGTTGAAGGAGGGAGGGAGTAGAGGTCATCCAAGGGGTCTGGAGATGACACCCTGAGAGGCATTGGTGGAGGATGGGCATAAAACTCGTCTGGAATTGTCGGTGACAAAATCAACGGCGGTGAAGAAGGACCGGCTTCAACCAAGGTTTCATCAAAGATCTCATCGATTGGACCGAATTCGCCTGGAGTGGCCGGCAACTCGGGACGAAGATCCTCTAGAATGTCCATCTCGATTTCACGGTCGATGGCGACTTGCGTCGCGGGCTGGCGAGGTGTGTAAGCGAAGAATGGATCATTCTGCATGTCCGTATCCACGATCTCGACGGCAGGAGTGACGCTTGAGAAGTTGTCGTGCATATCGCGGTCGGCGTATTGATGCATATTGAAGTCTTGGGCTGATCCGATGTCATCGGCCATCTCCAGGTCGTCTCTCGTTGTGGTCTCGAATCGTGTAACGCCTTCTATCATGTTTCTTGCATCTTGATTCGTCTCAACCTCAATAACTTCCATGGCGTCTCCGTGGACATTGTTGATTCCAACAATAGCGACAGGAGGTGCTTGCTGAATGACACCGTCCATAGATCCGTCGTGAGTTTCGGCGACTCTTTCGACTGCCACGGTGGGCTCACCAACAACGCCGTCCATCAAATAGCCGTTGTCTTTCTCAGATCCCTCGGTCTTGTCGCTAGGCTGGGTTTCGACAACCTCCATCGCCTCATTGTCGTCAACCTGTGCGTTCGGGGCAATTGTAGCTGAAGAGCCAGGCGCATTTCCGGACGTAGGAAGCTGTGCAGTAACGAGGGCAGACGCAACTGTAGCACTTGAAGAGATAGACGGCAAGGTTGAGGATTCCGTAGGGATTGGACAAGAGGCGGGTCCATGGCCGGATCTCTGTGGCTCCTCAGGGTCACTCAGTCTGCGCTTGTGTGTGGCAGGCGATTTGAGTGCTAGAGTAGGGAGAGCGGGAACAGGCAACTCGGTTAAGGGAGTATGGACTTGTTCCAAGACATTGGTGTCAGGAGTTGTGGGCTGTTCTGGAGGCGCGGGTGTGGAAGATGCAGACAGGGAATGATCGGGGAGCATCAAGACTGCTCCGCCGCCGCCCAGATCGTGGTGATCGTCCTTGTCGTCGTCGTCACCGTCGTCGTCCTTCTTTGCGTCTTGGTCTCGCTCATCCTCGCCGTCGGTCTTGTTCTCGTCCTCGTACTCTTGCTCTTTCTCAACCTCATTCTTCTCGTCAGACTTCGTGACCTGATTCTCTTCTTTCTCGGTCTCGCCCTCGTCTTGCGCCTCCTCATGAACGTTGTCATTCAATTCGTCCTTTCGAGCACTATCTTCGTCGATAGACACCACACCTGAAGCAGGAATCGCGGGCTCAATGGTGGCAATGGGTGCGTTGTCGGTGACGGGGAGAACTCTAGCAGGAGAAGGAATGGCAACTACATTGGTCGGGGCGTTATCGGTGACGGTGAAGACGTTGGTAAGAGATAGCAGAGGAGCGACGTTGACGGGAGCATCATCCGTGACAGTAAGGATTCCGGTGCAGGAAAGAACGGGAGTTGCGATGATGGGGGCGGTGTCAGCGACGATCAAGATGCTGCTATACGAGAGTACAGGAGCGATATTGACCGTGGCTTTGTCGGAGACAACAGGAGTAGCGATGACGGGGGTGGTGTCGGCAACGGTGATGACCTTGCTCAGCGACAGTTGCTTCGTTGTGGCCTCGTTGGGAGGTTGGAGGACCTTCCCTTCGCTCACGTGGAATATGCCGAATTGCTCGGCCTTTGGTATGATGTGGTAGTTATGATGGCGCAAGAGTCGGAGCTCAGGTACACTTGCAACCTTCGTCTTGAAAGAAGTGATCAACCTCACGGTCTTCTCGCACTTCCGAAGCTTCTCCTTCAGACTGGCGACCTCCTCAGTGAGGCGGGCATTCTCGGCCGAATGCTGCTCAGTCTGTGCCTCCTTCAAGTTGGCTCTCTCCTTTAGCTTGGTAATCTCCTCGATGAGGGCGGCATTCTCGACAGAGTGCTGCTGAAGCTGAGCATCAGCATCAGTAACCTCCTTGACGAGGCGCGCGTCTTCCGTCGCTAGGTCTTTGGGTTGGTCCACCTCTGGAGGCGGTGGACCGGGGGGCCTGACAGCTGGATTAGCAATCTGCAATACACTTGAGAGTACCTAGAAGGAGAGGAGGCTCACATAACTGGGCTCTCGTTCGTCGAGCTCCCTTGCTAGGGGAGTCCGTCGAAGAGGGTACCAGGCCGGGGTCCAGAAGTCCCGGGCTTTGCGAATTGGCACTGGGCCGAATCCGTTGGTATCTCATGACCAAAAGAGATCAACATCCGCCAGAATAGAGCCTTGTAGGCAATGATAAGCTTCATGGGCCAGGCGACAACGCTGGCGACGTCCACCAATATCCGACCAAGCAGTCCACCAGTCAACTGGTACCAGCATTCGGCGAATCTGGCAGAGTGCCAGAACGGAGAGATTGCCATGCCGGCCAGGTAGACCAGAACTGCGAGGAACGGATGATTGGCGGCCGCCTGGAGAACCAGGTTGGCCTTGTCGATGAAGATTTCAGTGACCATGATGGTGAGTGGAGTGTGGAATCTTTGGTTAGAGAAATGTAAGTAAAGTAAAGTAGCGTCGTAAGACGAAAAGGGGGAGCTGTCGTTGATATTGAGATGGGTTCGTGCTAAAAAGCGATGAAAGGTTGCTAAAAAGCGACGAATGTGGGAAGGTATCTCGACTCAACGTTGGCGAAGAAGGGAAGAGGAAGAGGTTTTTTTCAAAACCCGAGTCGGGAGACGAGACTGAATAGACTGACCGGACGACGAGGGCAGGTCGGTCACGTGCCTGAGGCGGTAGAGTGGGGCGGGTGAGCTGAGGATTTCCTAATCGGGTTGAAGTGAAGTTGAGATGCCAACGCTCCAGCACCCTAAGGCACCAAACGCAGCGGTCCCTTCAGGGGACCTGAGCCCGTCGCACCCAAGTCTTGAATTCCTTGCCCTAGTGACGTCAGTAATACTGTGGTGAAATTTTCTTCAGGTTGGCGAAGGAATCAGGAGCGCACAAAAGGCAGCCCTTGGGAAAATGACGTTGCAGTCGTGATGTTTTCGGTGAGTGGGCCTCACCGAGCACCCCCCACCCACTTCGTCTGGCCGCGTTTGATTCCGTCCGTTTGCCAACCGTCTTTGATTCTAAACTGCGTTTGCTTCTAGCGTTTTATCTCATTGTTTTCAATGAATTCTATGTTCAATTGATCATTGGGATCACAATGCCTCAGTACTCGAGAACAAATGCTTGCATCCGTCACAATTAAGTGGGACAAAGGCCGTCTGCCCAGTCGACATTGGCGGTCTTCCGTCTATTTCTTGTTCTTCCGATTGTTGATTTCTAGTTTCTAATTGGAATTGATCCCTCTACTCCTCTGTTTTTTGCTCGCGACTGATACCCGTTTCAATCAATTCGTCGTGCTCACACCATAGTCAACCGTAGAACCCAAATTGGGTTGACGATCACGCCTTTAAGAGCAAGATGCAAACAATTGACCAAAAATAATCTCATTTGGGTAAGGTAATACGACAACAACAAAACCAAATGTACGTTATTCGACTACACACAGGGTATCCTCACGGCGCCATTAAACCAAACCTGCCTCCCACCGACATAATCCCAGCAACAATAATCCACCATCATCACTCATTACAAGGTAGTACTGGTAATGCCTGCAGCAAAACGTAAACCTGCTACTCCTACTGCTTCTTCCCTCTTGCCAAAAGTCTCTCGTGAAGGTCCACGACCACATCGCTCCATGAAGGGGCGCCTTCCTCTTGAGAAAAGGCAGCCTCACCCAAATGGGTGGACAAGAACTCCGCAATCTTTGGGGTGTTGAAATGCTCCCCGTACACGACTGTCGCCTCAGGGTGAAGCGAGAAATCGACTCCGTCAGGCTTGCTCGCTCCCCTGATCTCGAGGGCAATCTCCACCTTGGTCTCCAGCGGCGCCATGAGAAGTGAAGACTTGACCGCGATAGACGAGTCAGAAACTCTCGCCACGGTGGTCGGGAAGGTAATGTTCAGCCGACGGACATGGTTGGAGGTGGAATTAGCCTTGTCCCACGCAGTGCGAACCATGTGGAGGAGATCCGCAATTTTAGTGCGGCTCTGCGGCAGGCCACGAATGTGGTCCCGAATGCATTCCAGGAAAAACTCCTTCTCCGGCGTTGACGGCACGGGTTTGGATGCGCGATTCGCGGCAATATAACACAGGTCGATCCTCGCGTTCTTCTTCCGGGGCTGGAAGGATGCAATGTCGAACACGATCTCAATCTCGCGGAGGTACGTCATGGAGATTTGGCTGCCGGAAACGCCGGTGACGGCCCAACCGTGCTGCTTCTCCAGGGCATCGACTCGTCCTGGGGTCAAGTTAGCTAAGCAAAAGATACGGAATCCAGTTTTCACATACCCTTGAGTGCACTGATTTCACCTGTCGACCAGCCTCGGCACTCCTCGCGAATCTTCTCCGCTTCCTTAATATCCTCGTGGCACTGCTGCTTCTCCTGCGTGAGGGCCTCAACACCACGCTCGGCATCCTCGAGTTCTTGTCGGAGCTCGGCAATGAGTTGAGTCTTTTCCTGAACGTCGCTTTCGACCTCGGCGAGATCAGCCCTGGCGGTCTCGAGTTCCTCTGGGTCGCAGTCCGCCAGTTCATTGGCGACGGCCTGCAGGTTGCTGTACTCTTGCTCAAGTTCGGTGAAACGAGAAACGATCGCAGGAAGGGTAGAGGCGAGCAGCTTTTGTTGCTGCTGGAGAACCTTCTCATCGGTTTTCATGCCCTCGACAATCCTGATAAGCCCCTCCTTCAGACCCTCCTGGAGCTTCATTCGCCACTCGTACCACATGGCCTTGCTCTCAAGACGGGCATGGGTCTTGCCGTTCTTGAACTGGTTGTCGAGGATATTCTTGAAGTCGGGAGAGGCGGACATATACTCCCGGAAGAGAGGCGGATTCTCCTCAAAGGTCTCGGACTCAATCTCTCGAACGATTCTGCGTCCCTCAGAAATGTACTTCTTCAGTTCGCGGCAAGAGTGTTGGTAAAGTTCCAGCATGGGCACCGTGCAAGCGCCGGCGACCACACAACGCTCCAAAGACAAGTCCTCTTTTCCACCCATTTCTCTAAACATGTCTGGTGCCTGAGTATGCCTCCGCTTTGTCGTCGTCAACTCCATGAAGCGGATGGAAGTCATGTTGAGGAAGTCCTGAAGATGAATGCGCTCCTCAGACTCGTCGTTCATGAGCTCATTGTCGGGTCGGACAGGCGAGCCATCGAGGTTCATGGGGTGAGTGGCGGTATCATCCTCAACATCTCTGAAGCGTCCTTGTCCGTGAGGAGACTTGGCCGTGCTCCCACTCTTCAATGGCGACTCGGAATGTGTCGGGGTTGCCTTAGTTGTCGTGTCTTCCTCCAAGAAGCGTTGGGAAGAACGAGTCAATCTGCGACCAGTAGTCTCGGCCTTGCTAGGGGGCTGGGCCAACTTGACGTTTTTCACAGGACTTCCTTGGTGTCCCTTGAGTCTCTTGACGCCGTCGTTGTCTTCGCGCTCCTCCTCGTCGTCAAGCTCGGCAGGACGCTTGCCAAGCAGGCCCTTGGCGCTTCCAACGTGGAGACTCTTGCGACCCTGAAGGCGCTTCTTCTTCGGGCTCAAGCTGTCAATCATCTCCCTAAGGTTGAGCGTTGCGTCCTTCTCATTTTCGCCATCCGCCTCGCGCTCGAGGATTGTACGGCTGTTCTCTTTGTCTTCTTCATCTTGGCGGTCTCTGTCGACTTCAATCTCAATGACCTTTGGATCCCCAAAGGTAACTCCGCGGGTCTTTCCAGGTACGAACTGCTGGGCGGCTTCGCCAAGAGATCCTCGTCGGTCAAGAATAGCAGCAACGCGGGGTGATCCCAGCCCTGGCTTGTCTGCGCCGACACCAGAATGCCTGCGGGGTTGGGGAGTGAGAACAACAGTGGGCGTCCTTGCTCCAGTTGCTGGATCTTGCTGAAAGACGTTCAAACGGTTGGCAGTATTTTCATGTGATGGTGTCGCGGGCTTTCTCGTTGGTGATTTTGAAGCAGACTTGGGGAGCGACTTGGTCGGTGACTTGGGCCGTCCTCGCTTCTTGGAAGACTGGGGTGTCTTGACTGGCGAGCTGTCCAACGGAGTCGTGGCCACTGGTGGTGGCGCTGCAGACTTCGGTGGGCTAGGTGTCCTGGTACTCCTCTCTGGGCTTTTGGAAGGACTTCTGGCTGGCGACTCGCCAAAGAGGCTCGCACGAGGCATGCCGTTGCGGAGGCTTCTGCCTTGGAACGGGTTGAAACCGGGGCTGTCTGCCGGGGGGTTCTTCTTGACGGACGCAGCAAGCTTCTTTGCAGGCGATGCTGGCTTCACGGACATGGTCTTGGAGGGCGTGTCGGGCTTGTCGACCTCCTCCTCCATGAGCTTCTTGGCGGCAATCCGGGCCTCTGGTGATTGAGGTCCTCCAATGATGCCTCCAACAGCGGTGGTCGTGTCCATACCCATCGTGGCGTCCTCTGCTTCGGCCGCCTCAGAAGTAGGCAGAATACCTCCAACAGCTGTGGTGATATCCATGTCCATGGTAGGCTCATCCTTCTCCGGGGAAGCAGTAGCAGCGCCAAGAATTTTTCCAACGCCAACAGTCATGTCCATGCCCCCTGTAGCGTCATCTTCTTCCATCGGCTTGTCTGGCGATGACATGATCCGACCCAGTCCAACAGTCATGTCCATACCCAAGGTCTCATCACCATGAAGAGTCTTATCAGCCGCAGGGAGGATGCCACCCATGGCAACAGTCATGTCCATGTCCATTGTTGACTCGTCCATAACCGAGTTGTCGCGCGTAGTCATGGTCCTGCGACGCTTCTGGGAGGTGTCTCTCTTGGCCTGGGACGGCAGAAGACCGCCAATGGCAGTTGTAAACTCCATAGACATGTCCTCATCTTCACCCTCATCGAACAGGGTGTCGTTGGGATTCTGTTTTTGGATACCTCCAACGGCGGTAGTAAACTCCATGGTTTGGTCTTCCTGGCTCGGCTCGGCGGCTTGTTGGTTGACTCGAGAAAGAATACCGCCGATAGCACGTGTGACATCCATCGACATGTCCTCGTTGGGATCAAAAGCACTCTGAGAGGTCTTATCTTTCATAATGCCGCCAACTGCTGAGGTGATGTCCATGTCCATATCCTTGTCATCGTCGTCTTCGTCTTCGGGAGGACTATTGCGCGCAGGCGGGGGAGGGGCGTTCTCCTGGTCCTTGGCACCCTCGTCCTGTGGCTTCTTCTTGATCCAGCCGAAGGAAGGAATGACTTCTTCCTCCTCTTCGTCATCGTCGGAGCCAAGTCGTTGAGTTCCTGCTTGTCGCGCAGCCATCCTCAGAGCCTCATCCAGGGTGTCGTTCTCGTCATCCGATGCGACCGTACGACCAGACATGACTGATGCGCCAGTGACCTCATTGTCGTCGATGGTCATCATCGTGCCATCGTCATCCGAAGAATCGCTGTTGGAGTCCGAGTCCTCGACCTCTTC